AAAAGAAATGGTGGGGAAGAAAAAAAGAACCCCAACAGATGGTGGAATTTAAAGAGGAAAACAGCACCTGAAGCAGTTTGTCTTCCCAAACATATAAACTGTTTAAAAGCATGTAAACTGCCCATCAGATGGTTTGCACAGGATATATGATATTATGAAGGCCTCCACTACAAGAAGAAAGGCCATTTAGATCAGAATTGGACTCTGTCAATGACACAAATTACTTGAATATATTTTTTTTATTTGGGGTATAATTAAAAGTTGAGTTTCAAGAACACTGTTGGCCACTTCAAATACATTTATGGAAACCATTGCTAAAGTGCACAGGGAATCACCCCATCACAGGACCATGATGAGAATTCCTATCAAATCAGATTTAAAAAAAATACACAACCACTAGGATTTTCTTCTCTTGTTTTCCTCTACTTTTTTTGTAATAAATTGGAGTTCAAGATGCTATTTACTGTTTTGTGTAAAAAGGAAAAATTATTTGATCATCTGGTATTTTGAATTCCCATAAAATCATATTGAACACAAAGAATTAATGCCAAGAGAACTGTAAGAAATCTTACAAAAGCTTTAAATGCTGGTCGATGAGCAGCCATCTCATATATGCAGCACCCTGGTGAAAAATCAACCATTTCAGCCACAGAAAAAATAACATATACATAGACATATATATAAGACAACATACCTAGAGACCAAATATCAGACTTGAAGCCATAAGGAATATCTGCAAGCAGTTCAGGGCACATGTAATTGGGGGTCCCAACCACCTGCAAACAGAAGTAAAGGAACACTGTTAATTCCACAAATAGCACTAAAGTCTCTATCACCAGCACAGGCTAATAACTGAACGCTTAAAAAGAACCTTTTCATTTTATATTTAATAGTAAAAAAAAACTTCGCTTTGACCCCTGGATATTATTCTCTGAACGTCTAAACATTCATTTGCTTAAATCTTAAAAGGATAAGCTAGAATGTGAACGGAAGTACATCTGACAAAAGTTATCATGCAAAAGAAAGAGAAATTTCATATATTCTCAAGTTACATTATTGAACGTCAATAAGCACAAAGAATAGTAAAAATATAAAATATAAAAATTTAGGTAGAGCAGTATCTTTATACAAGACTGCCAACTTAGTATAACTATCTAATGTTTTAATATCTTCCTTTATTATTAAACTTTAGTCTATACTATTGAACGTCTGTACACATAGCAGGGTCATTTATCAACCTCTAGAACTATATTGCACCGTTATAATACCAGAAATTAAAGATATCAAACTTCTTAAGCATCAGATATGAGCTAAACACCTAGAGATCATTGCTGTACGCATAGTTCATTGGATGTAAAGAAAATTGTAGCACATACCGAAGAAGCCAAGTCATCTGCCTTCAAAGTTTTCGCAAGACCAAAATCCCCTATATACAGACAAGATCACGATGAACAAAATAAGAACAAACACATTATCATCTGAAAAACAATATGAAGATATATATGTCCTAAACAATTGTCAAATCCATCTTGAACTCACCAAGACGAACATCCTGATCCTTGGTAAGAAAGATGTTAGAACACTGCAAAAAGAGCAAAACAGATGAATCTTGATCAACCTTAAACTGCAAATTGAGATGACAAGTGCTAGTGTTGGCAACCATACTTTTAGGTCACGATGTAGAACATAATTTGAATGCAGGTATTCAACTGCCAATAGTAGCTGTGTGAACCACCTGCAGAGTTTCTGAGCAATTCCCACATTCACCAACACAAGCTAACCGTAAGATTGAATTCTAAAATAGCAGTGTGCGCATTAGCGTATTTGAACAAAGAGATCAGTATACTCACCTCCTCGGGAAAATAAGCCCCATTGGACTTCTTCATCAACTCAGCCCTGAAAAATTTATAGATGAAAAACTGGTTAAAAATATTAAGGACCTAGGCACATTGCCAAATAAATGAAGTTTGTAATAACTGTGACAACTCACATGTCTCCACCTTCACAGTACCCAGTGACAATGCAAACATAGCAACCCTACATTATGAATACAACACTTCCAATTCAACGCAAACACGAAAAGCTCATAAAGTAAAAACTACGAATCTGACATAGGTTTATCCAACACACATACACAATATCAAATGTGTCTAACCTTCTCAACCCAGGCTTCCTTAAATTCGACAATGTACGGGTGTTGAATTCGGGCAATAAGAGCCATCTAAAAATCTGACATAGGTTTATCCAACACACATACACAATATCAAATGTGTCTAACCTTCTCAACCCAGGCTTCCTTAAATTCAACAATGTACGGGTGTTGAATTCGGGCAATAAGAGCCATCTAAAATTCCAAATTTCCACACAAATGTAAGGAAACTAAATCTGTACGAAATAGTAGGAAATTTGTATGCAACACTAAGAAAATCAGGAGCTAGAGCATTGGATTGAACTTACCTCTTGATGAGCGGATCGCCTGCACCTTTCGGTTTGTCTTGCAAGGCGGATCTTCTTCAACACATACCTGAAAAATTCATCAAAACCAAATGAGCCTCAAATCTGATCCATACACTACACAAATTCACACAAGCATATCCACAAACACATTAGATACATATCCACTTGTGTGTGCTAAGATCAATTACTTCTTCTTCTCGGCCTTGTGGTGGACGAGAATGGCAGCTCCGAAAGCTCCGCGGCCGATCTGCTCCATAAGCTCATACTGATCCATTCTTGACTCCATTGCTTGCTGCTCAGCTCGATCCACTGGTCCCGAATAAATTACAGCAATGCCTCCGAAGTAGAAAGAGTCAATGATTCTGGTTTGGCATTTGCTCCAAGCTCACGCCATTCTTGCAAGCTAATAATAATGGCGGATTCAAATTTCAATCTACGGATCGCCAACCACTGCGCGCACTCATTACTCAAAAGCGGTGCCGTTTTGGGGGTGTTTCAGTTGTCCAAGTGAGGAAATGGGAAATGTGAGAATCTGTTATCTGAATTTGGTAAGTAAGTTAATGATGGTGTGAAGAAAACTGTAGCCAACTTTCTAAGTAAAGCTCTGGTATTGTTTTCTCTCTCTTCTTCTTTCTCTGTCTTTCTTTCTCTCTCTCTCTCCCTATCCTTTCCTTCCTCGGCTTGGGTTGGGTTGGATTGGGTTGGCTTCTGAGACTGGTTTAGACTTTAGAGTGCGATTATGGGTAATGGGTATGCTGCCTTGTACGCCGACACAGGTAGGTAGCTGTCCAACTTCAACATCTCTACTTTCTTCTCTTATTATTATTTCTTTAATTTGATGTCCTACTTATTTCCTGAAATTAAAAACGATTTTCCATGTGGCTTAAAAGATAAATGATATTTTTCAACTTTTTTTCTTTTCTTTTTTTTTTTAAAGAAGGAAAATAAAATGATAAGTGAAGTCGTGAGGACAACCAATACAAGAAAGAATCAAAGCAGAGAGCCTCAAGCTCCGGATGGGGAACCGAGTCAGTTCAAATATACTACTACTTGAAATTTCAGAGTGATGGTCAGTTTGGTACTGTTGTAACTATTTTTAAAAAACTCTACTTATATTGTGTTTTGAAAATAATTAGTTGTAGCATATAGAGTCTAGTTTAGTAGAAAAGAGTATTGACTTGCATATTAGTAGTCTCAAGTTCAAGCCCCTTTGTGTGCATGTGTGTGAAATCCCTTTTTCCTTTGTAATTTAAACTATCACTTGTATTTAAATAAAATAATAATAATAATAAACTGTAAAATAAAGCAGTTTCACAGTTGGTAAACATTATTTTTAAAATGTTGTGAGTATAAAAAATAGTGTCCAACTATTTATTTTTGTGGATAATGACTAAAATTAGCATGATGTTGAAAGTGTTGAGTGATAATCAGGTGATGGAGGTGGTGCATGTGGTGGTAATAGAGGTGGTGGGGGTTATGTAGGTGGTAGTGGTCGTGATGGTGGTGAGGTGGTGGTGGTGG